AATATGGCATATTGAACAACGATATGGCATATTGAACAATAATATGGCATATTGAACAACGATATGGCATATTGAACAACAATATGGCATATTGAACAATAATATGGCATCGGCGCACTGCCTGGTCACGTCTGACGATGTGTTGCTGTGTTTCTATAGAGGAGCAGTTTAAGACGGGCATGGCCGTGGAGATAGAGCTGTCCTTCCGTACATCGGTCCGTGAAGGTGTGCTCCTCAGTACAGCAGCACCCTCCGGCTCTCCATCTCTCACCCTGCAGCTCTACGATGGACAGGTAAACAATCGTGTTGTTGTGTGAGGCAGTGCGCCGATGCCATATTATTGTTCAATATGCCATATCGCTGTTCAATATGCCATTTCGTTGTTCAATATGCCATTTCGTTGTTCAATATGCCATATCGTTATTCAATATGCCATATTGTTGTTCATATGCCATTTCGTTGTTCAATATGCCATATTATTGTTCAATATGCCATATCGTTGTTCAATATGACATTTCGTTGTTCATGCAATATGCCATATTGTTGTTCAATATGCCATATCGTTGTTCAATATGCCATATTGTTGTTCAATATGCCATATTGTTGTTCAATATGCCATATCGTTGTTCAATATGCCATATTGTTGTTCAGTCTGCCATATCGTTGTTCAATATGCCATATCGTTGTTTAATATAGTAGGAGCGTGCAATGCAATACGATGCAATGAAATGCACTACAATTCGATGCAATTCAACCTAATACAGTGCAATGTAATGCAATTCAGTTCAAAGCATTGTAACACTACACAACACAACACAATAAAACACAACAAAACATAATATGCGTACACAACAGTAGGTACAGTAATGATTTCGGAGTGAGCGTCGATAGAAAGTGAATAATCAATATACACATATCTAAACAATAGCAAGGTATTAGTGTACAGGTTTAGCAGTGCTGGAGATGAGGAGGTGGATTGGTAGTCCGTACACATGTGTACCCCGTAGCAGCATCTTACCAACACCAGTCGCATACCTATCTCTCCCTCTTTCCCTCCCCCTCTCTCTCGTCCTGCTTTTATCTCTCTCTCACCCTCTGACACCCTTCTCTGACCCCATCTGTCTTTATCACTCCCCCCTCTGTCTCTCTTATCCTCTTATTATCTCTCTCTCTCTCTCTCTCTCTCTCTCTGTCACACTCTCTCACTCTCTCTCTCTCCCTCTCACCCTCTCTGACCCCCTTCTCCCCTCCCTCTCTCTCTACCTCTCTCATTCCCCTTCTCTCCCTCTCCCAACCTCTTATTATATATTTCTCTCTCTCTATCACACACGCACGCACGCACGCACTCACGCACGCACTCACGCACGCACGCACGCATGCGCGCACACACACACGCACGCAAGTGCGTGCGTGCGTGCGTGCGTGCGTGCGTGCGTGCGTGCGTGCGTGTATGCGTGTGTGCATGTGTGCATACCCTTGCGTGAGTAACACACAGCAGTGATTACATACACTCTCTCGCTCTCTCTATCTCCTCTACACAGGTTGATAAGTCTAGACAAACCAACCAGCTTTAATAGTGTTGAGCTCGGTCGCTGCTCGCTGCCGCACAAGCTACCGCCGACGATTCCGCCACCGCCCCCCATCAGCTTCCCTCCCTGGCAGCTGCCTCGTCTGCTGGACACCTCCACAGTAGGTGAGTACTGCGTGCACTAATGCTGTCGCGCGTAACACACGTACGCTTGATGACTGCGTTGCTGTTAGGTTGTTGCCACGGCCATCACCTTCAGTGGAATTATGGATGTAATCGCATGAGGTCGTGACCCACGGGAGATTGTGCGTTGCCGAAACACTAAGATTTATAATCTCGATGCAGTCCACGTACCATTAAGCTACCCATGGAGTTAACCATTCTGGCTTAGTCTACGAATACTCAGCTGGATAGAAGAGACTGACAGCCTAAGTCTGAGTCTAACAAGAGAGGCTGTTCGCTAACACACACACATAGGGTTAATTGTGTACACGGCCGGTGAGAGGTTTCTCTCCATCCCTCACATTTTCCCCTTTCTCACATTTCTCCCTTTCTCACATTCCTTCCCCGTCGTGCATGTGCATCGCGTGGCATGTCTGGTGGGTGTAACATACGTGCCTGTGTTGTGTTTCTTCATGCAGCTACAGTGTATGAGACGACAGATGCCACGGACATGACAGAGGAAGCTGACGGCGTGTCACAAGAGATGTTCAGCAACGAGGCAACGACTGAGATGCCTGAGGTACGTGCTGCGAAGCTACACACTCATAGAAAGTCCTACAAACAACCAGGCAAAACGAAATATGCGGTAAAGAATTGGGTGTTTTCATGCTAATGATGGCATCTAGGTGGGAAACGCGTGTCTCGCCAGGCAAAAAATGCATGCAAAAACAGCTGGCAGCAAAAATTTTCAAAAAACAAAAATTGTCATCTTTCCTAAGCTTTTTTGGTTCACTGCCCCCTTGGCTCTATAAACTCACTCGCAATGCTCCCTGACCTCTATGATTCTAGCTACCCCTTACCTATTAGCGTCCCCTCCCATAGTTAATCCTACAGCCCTAGGAGGGGTACCACCCACATTTGGAACCATGCATTAAAGTAAGCGATGGGTACGCTAATACATTACGGTCATCCCACTCCTCGTGCTATCCCCTGTGAACACTCTCTTGTGTTAGTAAGATGTGATTTGTGGGAGCGATGGTTGCTGTAATACGCGGCGCCACGTATCGTTCACAGTCGGTGGATTCCTGCACGCCGCCGGGCAGGTATGAGAAAGAGGAGCACGCTGTCAAGTTTGGTGACCAGCAACATAGCTTCTCCATCATCCACGTCGTGAAGAGAGACATCCAGCAAAAGTACGTCACACGCACATTATATTAATCAACACGTTGGCTACTCATTAACGCATAAGCTAAATGAATAGTTGATAATTCGACGGTAAGCCCCGTGCGTTTGTGCATCCTATTTTAATTAACACATTCAGGGCTGTAGCTTGTGGTGGGGGGGGGGGGGCAATGGGGGCAACCACCCCCCTAGATTTTGGAGCAAAATTAAAAAATAAGCTTGGCTAATAATCGTAAATGACCATAACGTGATTTTTTTGGTCACTTATCCGTGAAAGCCTTGTCTCAGACCCAGCCCTACCACACTATGGACGTCGATCAAGAGCTGCGCCCGTCCCTCATCATTACACAGTTGAGTCATGAAATTTTGCCCCCCTCCCTAGGAATTTGCTCAGCCTATGGCCCTGACATTACTTTCTGATGGGATGTATTCACCCCATGTATTCCTGCCATAAACAGCGTTTGTTACGTAGTGTTTTAGCATACTGGTCAGAATTAGTAGAGGTTATATTACAACAAATTGCGGCACAAGTCCCTGAGAGATAAGCTGTGGGGAAAACCTTAATGAAATAACACTGGGGAAGAGGGTTGGAAGATTAATTTGGTGATAATTGAGTGATATTGAAGTGTATTACTGTTAACATTGCGTAATAAACAAATAGGGCGAATAGCATTGATTAATACCCTAATAAGGGCAACAGCTATCAGTGATATCCTCAAGTACACAACAGCGGTCGGTCGTGCACGCATCAGAGAACACGTTTCTATAACAACCCCATCTCTAACATCTCCCTCAAAACTTGTGTTAATGGCTGTTGATGATGGTCACATTGATGACATGTACGCATGTTTCTGGCTGCAGACATTGGTGACGTTGCTGACGTGTGTTACTGCACACGTCCTATTAACTTTTGAGATTGATGCAACATGTGTCTTATTGGCTGTTGGTGTTAGTTTGTTTTCATCCGTAAATAGGTCATCTTAGACTTATTGCCTATTAACATTGTTCAGTGCGTCAATGTTTCTATTATGTATCGACGTTACATCAACAACGATATATTATTGACATTACATCACCATCGATAAATTATCAACATTACATTACCGACGTTGTAATAGTAGCTTTAACTCTCCATACACTAGTGCTATATACATGAACTCGCATCCTGTGCTGTGATTGGCACTTACAGTAATGTTCAACGCTGCGTATGTTCCAGGATTCGAACAGGCTGATGAAGGACAGCAGTTCTCGCATAGAGGCGATGAACAGCGGTGGTTTGTTCCTCGGTGGCGTTCCTGAAGGCTTCCGTGTCGAGAACATGGCCGCCACGGACAAGCCGTTCGAAGGCTGCATAAGCGACATCATTCACAATAAAGTGTAAGTGGTTTATGTTGGTTATATATGTTGGTTATTACATGTTGGTTACATGTTACAATGTTCTCGCGAGGTGATGGTTTGCGTGATCGTATTCATAGGTAGAGTTTGAGGATCAGAGTTGTAATGCTGAAACACATCTGTATACGTTATTATACTCTAACAAGGAAAGATTGTATTACATTATCAGGCTTCCATAAAATTCTCAGCAAATGGTCACGCAATGGTAAGGGAAAGAAGTAAAAAATGTGTAGGAATCTGTGTGTGTGTGTGTCTGTGTGTCTGTGCGTGCGTGCGTGCGTGCGTGCGTGCGTGCGCGCACGCGCATGCGTGTCCGTATGTGTGTGTGCGTGCGTGCGTGCGTGCGTGCGTGCGTGCGTGCGTGCGTGCGTGCGTGC